AAATGTGACAACTCCTTCAGCAAGAACTATCAATTTTGACTTCATGACCTTAAAGTTTGGATTTATTTAAAAAAAAAATCATTGTTGCTAACTTTTGAAACAGAGAAGATTGGGCATTCATATTTGAAGCATTACCTATGAGAAAACGTTTCCAAATGTACTCCGATATTTAACCCCATGACCTTGAAATTTAACCTAATTTTCAAAAATTTTAACATTGCTAACTTTTAAATGAGAGAAGATTATCTTTAATTTTACATGTGCATTACCTGCTTTAAGACCTTTCCGAATGAACTCTGATTTTTGACCTCGTGACCTTGACTGTAAGTTTAACCTACAGTCTTTTTCAATTTTTTCTTAAATTGTTAATAACATTTGAATGAGGGAAGATAAGGCTTTCATATTCTAATATTACTTATGAAAACATCTCTCAGAAAGAACTAACATTTTTTACTTCATGACCTGACCTAGAAATGACCTGCTTATCAAAAACTTTAACTTTGGACATAAATTTTGCTCCAGAAGAGACATGGCTTTTATATTTTTTTTTCACATGTGTATGGATGAGTATTATGTGGTAAAAAGCATGACTGTAGTAAGTGATGCAACCACAGGGGAGCTAATCTATAGACTATTTCATAAAATAATGCAAGTTTATTTTTTTTTCCTTCTAATTTCTAAATTCATACCATTCAAGCGCTTCATAAATCATTGATCTTGATGAATTCATCCTTACGCCTTTTGATATTAAATCAGCTGCAACTTGAACATCTTTAAGTGATTTTTGATCTTTATCTGAACATTCCACAATTATCCCAAACAATATCTCAGTAGTCAAAAACAGGAGGAACAAAATCAAAATAAATTCTAATCAATGAATCCCTCTTATGCTTTTATTAACATTCTTAGGATATTTTATCGGTTACATATTTTGGCATGAATATCAAGTGCAAATACATGTATATGCTTTTCCAATTACTATCCTGTTGGAATCTTCTTTCTAAATGAGTATGTGTTTCAACATTTTGAAATGTTGGCCTATTTGCCAAATTAAGACATATTTTTCTGCTAGCATATAAATGGTTTGAATTCTATACTGCCCAAGTACTGGACCACTGCTAGATTTTTTCGAAGATCTTCGTTTAATTAATTTGCAGACCTAATCATCCTCAATTACTTCATGTGCATAAAGAGATGTGTCATCTGCAAAAAGCCTAACAGGATATGATAAATCCCTAGATGCTTGGTTACCATTGGGATTATCTTTACTTCGGATTGGAATTACTCCATAAACTTTAGCCTGGTGACTCATCTGGAAAATGTAGGTCAGATCCAGCATCCGAAGCTAGTCTGGTAAGTGCACACTCCTGAAACATCTCCATGCAAGTTTGGTCCAGGTACGACTTATTGTTATTTAGGGTTGTACTTGCTTCTTAAACTTTAGCTTGGACGTCGACTGCAACGCTTGGAGTATAGCATATCATCTCGACTTCTACGAGGTAAACTTAAAATCACCATGATGTTTGTTATGTACAAAATATAGCGATAGTGATCTTTAAAAAATATAAAGGGCAGTAAAACTCAACCCAAACAAACAAATAAACAAAACACACAAGAAAACAAACTCCAAAGTCGTGTTTGTTTAGCTAATTTTTTTCTTTACATCCTCAGTTTCTATTTTAATTAATCGAAATTCATTCATACATTGAGTGGGTCAGATAGTGTCAACAACAATTAACGTTTAATTTTTTTCTTTACATCCTCAATTTCTATTTTAAACAATCGAAATCCATTCATATATTGAGTGGGTCAGATGGTAAATCCCTCATGGACGGGGATTTATCACATATGAATGAAACACCGAATGAGACACATTTAACAATTTGTTTCATTCAAAATTTCCTTGTTTATGAAGGGACGTGTATCAAAATATCGATACAATTTGATTTCCCCATTTAAAAATACAAAAAATAGCAGAGCGAATGAACGAAAGTTCTTGTTCATGCACAATAAGGTACAGGGTGCAATTGCAATAATCTTTTTTCCATGTTGACGATTGAGAAAAAAAAATTGCCTTTCTGAAAAAACGTTAAAAATAAAACATATTATATACAACAATTATGACAATGCATAATGTGTAACGTCTTTATGAAGTGTCACTAGGGGATTATAGGGAAAATGTAAAATTTAACTTGAGTTAGAATGCTGCATGCTTGAGAGATGTTTGAAACCTCTTAACACAAACAGACAGTAGCAGAGTTGTCTGGAAGCCAAAAGGATATTCAGGAAGTGTAAGGCACTCCTAGACATATTTAATACCTTTACTGTGACTGGTGGACCTCAATGACTTTTAAGTTTACTTTCACTTACATTACTAAGTGCACAATTAAAGCGGAAGCTTGGTGTGTTTTCATTTTATATGAGTATATCTAAAAGACATATTTAGTTAATAAACAATACGGAAAATATACCTGTGCAATTTTAGAGTAATAAAATTCTAATTGGTAAATACGATTTCACTGTATACAAAAAGCAATGTACTGGTAAATTATACTTTTTATATGAAGTGTGGGGAAAACCCTGGACTCTTAACTACAACAGCTGTGTATGAAATATGAACTTAACGAACAGTAATCAAGCTTCCAAGTCCATTTAACAATACAAACTGTGAGCAGATCAACCACTAACCTCTAAAAACACCAGAGGTGGGATCAGGTGCCATGGAGGAGTGAGCATCCCCTGCCAACCGGTCACACACGCCGTGTGCTCCTTGTCATGATCGGGCAAACGGAAAAAATTCGTATACATTTCAGTGTGAAAATAATGGCCTAACAACTTGAATGAAAAACGTCAGTCAACATTCGACTTAACGATAGATTGTATTTACTAACAAGGTCATTGTGTCATTGTATCGACCATAGATTTTGGGAAATATAGTCTTTAAACGAGACTGTTGATATCCTTCTATCATCAACTTATTCTAGAAAAATATCAAAATATGAAACAGATGTATCAGACTATGTGGTGTCTTTCATTTCTAGTTTAAAGGGATATAGCGAATCAATGTAAGAATGAAAATGAATCTTGCTAATTAATACAACGTCAATATATCTAAATGTCGAATTGAAGGTCACAGCAAGGGACTTCCTCTTTTCATATAGAAGTTATTAAATAAATTCTGCTTCATATGAATATAAAAATAAATCTGCAAAAACGGGGCGCAATTAGTACCCATGGGAATTCCAACAGATTGTTGGAAGACTTTATCTCCAAAAACATACATAGATATCTATAAAGATAATGTCAATCAGAAACTCAAGCGTCTTTTTAACATCAACTTCAGAGTGTTTTTGTGTACAATATGAATGTTTTTAACAACAAAATTTTACAGATGGCCATTGACGAGTTTCATTTATATTGAATTTAAGATTACATTATATAAACTGCTAAAAATAACGGAATCGTTCCCAAGTTTGGTTCGTTAATAAAAGAAGAAACTAGATTTTATGTCTACCTAATTAGGAGAGGTCTTACAAATCACAAGTGCATGCAGCTGCATTTACTTTAACAAAATATATATTGAAAAATATCAATATCGTTGTGATTTTGCAAAAGCAACTATTGTTTTGCTCAATAATAGGAAACACCAATTGTTAATGCAAACGAGAATTCTTACTGATTACTATATAGTTACCATGACATATTTATCCCCTTCAAAGATGTGAAAAATTAAAATAAAAAAAGAATCACTTTTGTTTAAAAATTTTGAATGGTGGTTCAACGTCGAACTTCAAGTATTTGTCTGACTTTGCCTTCCATTTACGAAGCCATGAAATATTAAAGACCCTTTGAAGTAAAATGTACCACTAATGAAATAAAATCCACTGTAGATATTATCTAGCATTAATGGTGACTTTGCAAGTCATTACTGATAAAATTGTTTCATTAATGTAAGACTTTTAAAAGTGATTATGCCAAAAAAGTGGAAACATTATTTTTACCTTCTCAATAATGAATTTTAAATTAGGTTGTGATATATGAATGTATAACCATTAGCATCACACTTTCAACCGAATTAAAAGAATCAAGGCTTTCATAAAAATGGTCAAAAAAGCAACTACAGTACGTACATTGCGACCTCGGTCTTGAGAAGGAAATGTATATAATACATGTATGTAAAAATAAACAAATGTTTTCAGCTGTGCTTGACAGTGGTTTAAGTATTTCGCTTTCAGCTGTCATTCGTCTATACTTCCAATTTTGACAAATTATATTCACATTTCGAATGATCTCTGATCGGTCTATTTGTCGAATAAATTCAGTGAAGTCTCTTACAAGATAGATCTTGCTAGGGAATTATCATATCAAGTAATGGGGTTATCGGAAAGATGTCGATCTATACGCGGAAATGTTACGTGCATCATCAAAATATTGATAATTATCAAATCATATTTACGTCACAGATGCCATTTCCAATTCATCTGAAGAGGTGGAACGGATGTAATAAATATACAAAGTTTCAAAAAATCACAATTGATAATATTCTCAATTATTTTTGTATCACACAGGTGTCTTGGAATACCATTAATAGAGCAGTCATAACAATCTATACAAATGTAAATAAGATTTGGACAGAAAACTGCAGACATTTCCTTCGCTTTCTATCTCTGATGCCAGGAAGTTTCATACATTATTATTGTAATCTCTGTCTGTCACAAAGCTGGCAATACCCATTAACTAAACCATTGTTGTTAATGATGCTTTCCATTGAAAAGAAGAAATACTGGGGAATGCAAAGAAAAAAGAGTCCATTCCTATTAAATACCAATTATATATCGATGTATAATTTCTGCACTTTTTCAAAGTAAAAAAAAAGATTTATAAATGTATATAAAGTCCGAAGTCCCTGTGACCCTGTTCTTTATATCATGTAGCGTAAAGTATTCAGAACAGTCACAGTGACTGTTTTCACTATAATGCGTGAACGGAAAATGACTTACACTTTCACTTTGTTCGGCGTATTGTCCACACGCATACCTAGTGACAAGGCAAGTCTTTCCTGCGGCACACTTTCCCAAAGTCACAACCTTGAAAGAACAGCTTAACGTCCCCGACGTCGCCATTGTATTGTGATATGTAATACATGTATTTACTCTCTATCTGTACCTTTGATAATTACGCGTTCATCGCGATTTCCTATCATATTTCCTTGGTAACGAAGTTTTGGATACTCAAATCCAGGAAATGTCAGAATAACTTAAGTGCACCAACATTTACTTCCGCCAAATAAAAAAAATACACTCGAAGACATAAACATCCAGAGTTAGATCACTATGCCACTGTTCAGAAGAATTCCGGCCCGTAGGAACCGGAAAAAATGGGGGGGGGGGGGGTTATACCAATATATACCATACAATAGTTAAAAAAAAAATAAGCTCAATGATAACATCTGATGACCTTTTTTCATCTTTATTGTTTGTTAAGGAATTTTTAATAAGCCCCCCCCCCCTTTCAAACTGAAAATGCTTCGAACGAGGCTGGAATTCGAATGCCCAGCGTATTCTATATTTCAGACGAATTCTAATAATAAATATTAGTGGGGAGATTAATGATGCGTTTTGGGGGGCAAAGAAAGTCTTTTTCCTCACATCGCTTGGAGAAATATATATCCTAAAGTCAGAAGAGTTGATGAATGATTTTTCCTTTACAATTCAATATTTTACAAGGGGAAACGAGTTCGAGAGGACAAGGTAAAATATGAAGTCTCCATTTGTCCTTTTCAAAAAAAAAAAAAGTGCAACAAAGAAAATGATTTTGCATAAGACTTCAGAGTATTTTTAAAATATTATATTATATAAATATTGCATGTAGTTGAGTGTAACATTGAAAACTTTCACCCCAAGAAAACCATTGTCAACCGAGGCGCAGCCTCGGTTGACAATGGTTTTCTTGGGGTGAAAATTTTCAATGTTACACTCAACTACATGCAATATTTATAATATTATACTGAATGTACAGTGAACTTTGCGCGCATAAATTCTGCGCAGTCAATATTTATTGGAATATCACCCGTCGTCAAGCAATGTTGACTGTTGCTACGCTGGAGGGCGTGGCTTCGTTATTCAGCGGGTAATAGTGTTTTTTAACAAATGTTTCTCGACGAATGAGATTCAACTTATTTACATGAAAGTATAACATATAATACTATAGTAGTTTTATCAGAAGTATTAGGAATGATAATCTCTTCAAATTTTAAAGTAGAAATATGATGTCACAATCTATATTTCCTATACAAACAGAAAAAAATATAAAACTTACAGGTATGTTTCCCTCTAGAAACACTCCTTCTGCATACTGTGTAATAAGGCTAGTTTTACCAGTAGCTTCCCTTCCCAAAATAACCACTTTGACTAAAACCGGCCATCCTGATTGCATTTTGGGCATATTGAATAAATAGTGTGTTCTAAGTGCTTTGGGTCAAACATTATGCTTCCTGATCCATGTTTATTGTAGCATGTAAGTACTGTTTATTTGTATCCTATCCAGCACACATTTGCATGGTTGACTTACAGGAAATTACTCAACTTATTCATTGTGTATGGAGTTTCCAAATGTCATTGACCAATTTTTAGTCAAGAATATTATTTCTAACATAAATAAAACTTTAATCAAGTATCTGATGAAGTAGCAGTGGGGTCTTATCTTCCTTTGATATTACACGTACTTCTGTACAGTATATTTAATACAAATAAATTAAAAAATGATTAAACATAATTTATCCTAAAACAATAAGTATCCCCCTCCTCCCCAGGAAAAAGCCTTCTATGCCTACAAAAACAGTATATATATATATATATATATATATATATATATATATATATATATATATATATATATATATATATATATATATATATATATATTAATTACCTTGGTATGTTGTTTAACTTTAATGGTAAATTTTCAAAAACACAACAACATTTTGCATCACAGGGAAGAAAAGCCATGTATAGTGTCCTAAACAGAATGAAAGATTTAAATTTTAATGTTAAAACACAATTAGATATGTTTGAGACTTATATTAGCCCTGTGCTGTGTTATGCATCTGAAATTTGGGGATGGCACAAAGCTAAAGATGTAGAAAAAGTACACCTTTCATTTTGTAAAAGAGTACTTAAGGTTAGACAGAGTACATATAACAGTATGGTATATTGTGAACTAGGTAAATTTCCTCTTGAACTGGTCAGGAAAAAGAAAATCCTTAAATACTGGTTAAAATTAAAAAATAGTGATAATTGCATTCTTCAAGCATGTCTCCAAGAAAGGATAGAAAATAATGATGACTGGATTGTCAATATTAAAAATGAATTTCTTAGGTTAGGCTTAGCAGAACTGTTTGATAGAAATTGTATAAACAGTAACACACTTGATATTTTACAGCAGAGATTATGTGATGAATATATCCAAAGCATTATGTCAGATTTAGGTAAATCACCAAAATGTCTCATTTATCAACACCTTGTTGATAATTTTACCCTTCAATCTTACTTATGTAAACCAATACATTTAAAATATAGAGTATCAATTACCAGATTAAGACTATCTGCTCATAACTTAATAATTGAACAAGGAAGATATAATAAAACTGTGAGAAATAATAAAACATGTAATCTTTGCCAATCAGGTGACATAGAAGATGAATTCCATTTTGTGTTAAAATGTCCATATTATAATACATTAAGACAGAACTACATTAAAAGCTACTACTCCCGAAGACCAAGTGTCTTCAAATTGGTACAGTTACTTAGTACACAGAATGTAAAAGAATTGTGTAATCTAGGAAAATTTTTGTAAATAGCGAGTGCAACAAGAATAGTGTATTTAACTAATTTATACAGGTTTAAAATATTATATGCATTGTACATGTTGGAAGTTAATATCATCAATATATGTATTAAAATGTATGATTGTAAATATTGTCTATGAGATGTATGTCTCTTGACTTTAATAAACTGATACTGAAATATATATATATATATATATATATATATATATATATATATATATATATATATATATATATATATATATATATATATATATAGCTTTATCCTGATCCTATTACTATTCACAAACAACAAACCATTATCATACAGCAAACTGTTTTACTGAATTATTTCAATATCACTTTCTTTGTAACTGATCTTATTACAATACACAAACAACATACCACTATCATACAGCAAACTGTTTTATTAAATTATTTAAATATGATAATCACTTTTTTTGTAACTGTATTCATTTACCAAATAAAAATGTCAGTGTATGAAACTGTTTTCAGTTTCTGGTGTTTATCATTTTCAGTTTCTCATGTTTCAGTGTTTTAATAATTTAGTGTCAAGGTGTTACAGGTATGTAATTTTAACATGAAATATATCTTTTTTTCTCAAATTACAACTCCAAATGATAGACAATTTGCCATGATCTTTGTTTGAAGTACAGAATGTAATATATTAATAAATAATATCTAATTCATATACTTTGTTTTCATAATAAGTAATTTCCATCATAAATTTAGCAGTTACAATTTTTATATTATTGTTAACTACAATTTAAAAAAAATCTAAGAAAACTAGAACTGTCCAAAAGGGACAAATACCCCCCGCTGGGTTTTTCAGAGGTGCCAAATCACTAATATTTTATGGATCTAAGAGGTGTTCACAATTTTCTTATTAACATTTAGAGTGAAAAAATAATTGCTCATTATATTTTTTTTAATGAATGAAACCAAGGAACAACCTAATAAACAACAATACCAATACATTGTAATTACATTGTTTTTTAATACATTGAAAAAATAATTTGCAACTATCTGTCATCTTTTTGAGACATGGCATTCTGCAAATCAATTAATTACAAAATCAAATTAATCTTGATAACTTTATATCAAATTCATTTAAAAAAAAATGAAAGGCTGGTCATCCAGTAACTATGTACTATGACAGACAATAAATTACAATTAAGAGAATTAAAGAACAGAGATCTTTAAATTCCCAGGAGATATAGATAACACATGCTTGATCAGAGATGCCCTAACAACTTCCCACACTGAACTCATTAATTTATCTCTAACTGGATGATGTCCACCTATTACTCCCAAGGGACAAATGGATTTACACTATCTGCTGTGTAATGTAAAAATTGTTTTTAATACTTGGTGATTTTTTTTTTGTTTTAATGAATAGTTTTAAGCTGTAGTTCACATTTTTGTATAGAAGTTCTAGATTCTGTGTCTCAGACCTTAGAAATAAACCCAAAATGACTAAGTCAATAAAGATGAAAAAAAAAACCCTGTAAAATGCAGAAAAATTATCCAATAATGTTGAAAATACCAGGTGCACATCTTCATATAGTAAATAATGAGTGTACAAATTTTCATACAATTCTATGAAATAGTCTTTGAGAAAAGGTCAGGACAAAACCACATAATAAACATAGGTAATCAAAGATTACGAAGCTCACCTTGACGAATGTTATCTACATGTAAGGCAAATTTCACATCATATTTTTTTTCTAGTTAGGGTACATCCCAAGATCAATATCCATGCAAGTTTGATTTAATTATAGACCTGCTCAAAAAAACTTTTGACCTGTTTAGTAATCAAGAAAATTTTGGTCAGTTCCAACATCCAAAGCAAGTCTGGAAGTTTTCATCCTTAGATGCACCATCTATGCAAGTTAAATCATAACAGGCCATAATATTATATAGCTACTCCAAAAAAATTACCCTGGTCACTCTTCTGGAAAATGTACATCAGATTCAGAATCCAAGGCAAGTCTGGAAGTATCCATCCCTAGATACATCATCCATGCTAATTTGGTTAAAATATGGCTAAAATTCACTCATGTGGAAAATCTAGGTCAGATCCAGCATTCGAAGCAGGTTGGTTAGTGTACATCCCTAGATGCATCATCCATGAAAGTTTGGTCCAGGTAGGGCTTATAGTTACTTGGGAATGAGACTACTCCTAAATCTAAACCTGGTCTCACATGTGGAAAATCTAGATCAGATCCAGCATCTGAACAAGTGTGGTAGTGTCCATCCCTGGATGCATCATCCATGCAAGTTTGGTCCGGG